CTGACAAGGAAGATGAAAGTGAAGTATGAAGTTTTTGATATACTTTTTTTAATAATTATTTAATAACAATTTTTTCCCTAGATCGTGGTTCCCAAGAAACGAAGGAAGAAAAATGTAGAGGTAAAAAAATATATTTTTAACAATATCATACATTTCTAATCTTAACCTTTTTATACGATTATAATCCTACACTTCATTAAATTTATTCTTTTCGATTCTTTATGTGTTCCAATTCTAAATTCTATTTGTGTCTAAAAATTATCCTAAGAATTTTATCTATGAAATATTCTTATTATTGTTATTTTATTAAAAGATTATCAAAACGTACAATCTAAGAAAAAAATAGTTGAACAAAAACTTAAAAAGAATTAAATTTTAAGTGTAAGCATTATGATTTATAATATTATGTACCAAGTTTTCTAGTAATATAAATACAGACCTGTTTTAGGAAATGGAACCAAAAATCGATGAGTTGACAGATTCAATGTTTACAATTCTACGCAAGTCAATTACAGAGATATTAATTAATGAGGTGTGCAATAAATATTATACCTAATGTTTGTTGAATTTTATTATAATTATATATTATTGTTATTATTATATTTCTTAAGTACCTATTTTATTCTTTTCATTAGAAGTTATTGTGACAAAAAAAAAAAAAAATCGTGCCTATGCATTTTTAATATATTTCAAATACTATTACAACAATGACATTTGAATTACAATATTAGATTTACACTCAATTTCTGTTGTACCGATATTCTTATTTTGTTGTCATATAAAAACTAATAATTGTAGGAACTTGAAATGTCAATAAAATTTTATTCGTTGGGTCAAAAATCTTGAAAATTTAATACAAGGTTCCCCATAATTTAATATAATAGCAGATAGAAAATTTCAAAAATACATAGGCACAATTTTTTTTTATAAGCATTTAAAGTTCAAATTTTGACAAAATTTGTTGAATTGAAAATTTACAAATTCTTTAGTTATTAAAAATTTATAAAATGTTTAACTTTTATAGCTAAGGATTGAAAGTTTGAAACAAGGTTCCACGTAACATAATGAATCTAATTTGATTAGTTTGGAATTTATTTTATAGGTACCTAAATTTTTTTTTTTTAATAATATAATTAATATATTTATTTTATTTTAAACAATATATTGTATAAAGTATAATATCCATGACTGAAAACTCGCCTCCGATCAGAATCGTTTTTTGTATACAATGATATTATATCGTTGAATTCAAATTTAATGCCATCCATTACAGTAACCCACTTGTAAACCATTGTACAGCAGAGCGACATCCACTTACTTACCCGCTTTTTAAGTGTAAACACTGCACTGCATTTCCCATTTTTGTTTTTTAATTTCCCTTAGATTTTTATTTTCTTAGACAATTTTTAGTGGCCAAACTTTTTTAATTTTATTTATAAAGTTAACAATGAGGCACTATGAATTATGAAAATAGGGATGTAAGTACTTCAAACTATTGCTCGTTTCTTTGAATTTTGTTTCTCGTAAAAGCATGTGTTTATAATTTAATTAGCATGACTACATTTTTATGTTTTAAAATGCTTTCAATTTGCAATCATTTTTATTTAAACCTTTAATTGCATCCAAAAGGCCTGCATCGAGTCCCCATTAAGCATTGTAAGCAGCAGTTCTGGATGTGGAACGAGTATCACTAACATAAGTTGCAGTACAGGCAGTGTTGAACTTGATTTGATGCGTGTTCATGCCACGTATCACAGCTTCCATCGACCTTGGGAATTAGAGAGTAGCAAACAACGTTGATGGGCATCTTATAAGTTTATTTTTAAATGATGAAGATGTTGCGATCATTATTAAGAAAGATTGAATAATATATTTATAAACTATAATTTTAATTTATTTACTGAATTGTTTATTTGTTAAAAATACACACTATTGCAAAGTATCCAAAAACATGTACATTTATCATATTTTTATTTTATAATTACATATGTAAGTTAATTTGTATCCTTTTTTTTTTTTTTTTTTTGTATTGCTTATAGAAAATATAATAGACCTAAATTATACTCATTCAGCCGTTTGATAACTATTATGAATAATCAATAAATTTGTCAAAAATGCTTGTATTACTTTAAAATCATTTAAAAATATTTGTTAAAAACTACCTATAACTACCTAAATAGTAAAAACTGATTCTAAATATATTATACTATATTGAGTTTAATGCTTCTATTGAAATTTAATTGAGTACAGACAACAAGAACCTAACTAAGTGAAACAAATTAGGATTATGACAACAATAAAATTACACAGAACTAATGATTTATATTATTTTTCCAAAAAAAGTGTATGTGTGTAATAAAGGTGATGTATAAAAGAAAAACAAAAAATACTAAATGTATACTGTTTTATGTCTATAATCGGTTATGAATAATTACCATAATAAATGACATAATATATAATACATAGACTGTGATGTCGAGCGATTGAACATTGAGAGACGAGTTGCTCGATGTGTAGACAGGGTCAACCTTGGATATATGAGGTCCTTCATCGCGCAGGGCGACAGTAGTGAGCATAACACTACGGTTGGTGACAGTTTGAAAGCACGGTGCATCGGCGGAGACCTCGCACCGGTATCTTCCACTGCTCGCCAGTTCCAGACCCCTAAGGTGAACGCTTCTTGCCGTAGACTGCATTTTATCAACATACACCCCCATTACTTCGAAGACTTGTACTTGTGGAGATTCCAGTGGCAGAAATCTATAGAATTCGTTCCCGTCTTTGTACCATTTTATTGAGTATAATTTTTTATAATTAAAGAACATTGTTCCAGAATTAATAGGTTTAATACATCGAATGTGTTTACCATCGACTGCCCCTACACAATTTGGAAAATTGGTTTTTAAATAAAATTTATTAGCTATTTCTAACCATTGATCGGGATTAGGTTCTGGCATTTCTTCAGGCTGTAGAGTATTCCATAAAATCTGACAGGTTTCACGAACAATATTACCTATTGTACTTCGTCCCAATAAAAATTCATATTGTAACGCCACAAAATTAGTTCCAACTGACAAATATCTGAAATAATTTATAATTTTAAACGTTATATAGATAACATTTTATGTTTTTTCTAAAAGTCAAATATAATCTTTAAAGTTATGAATATAAATCAATAAATAAAAAATTATAATATTTAGTTATATAATAAATTATATTATTACTAGGGCTCGGATTTATATGTTAATACATATTTTTACTGTGACTTGATAAATTAATTTAGGTAAATGATAAATTCGTTTCAAAGGATTTCCAATTAAATGAACTATATTTTATTTCACATATTTTTACATATTTTACCATAAGTACATATTTTTACTTATTTCTCAATAGGTAGTTCTATTTTTCCTTTATATTTCGACAATTTGTTCATTTACGATTTATTAATAATTATTAATTATATAGGTAGGCATACGACTGTATTTTTCAATACAGACAATTTTATTTCTCATGTTTCCAAAAGGACAAAATATTCGTAGTAACAAATGTTCGATATTTATGACCTCGATAAACGATAAATAACGATTGAAAATTTAAAAATGCATGTTATCATAAATTGTAATTAAGATAATTAATATATTTTTTTTTATCTTTTTTTATTTATATTTTATAATTTTTAACAGGTACCTTTTTTAAAATAATTTTACTATTAAAATATAATTTTTTCATTAGAAACTCATATGGTTATATTATATAATTAAGTATTAATAAATAAATCATATTAGTAAAATACATATTTTGAGTTCTTTAGCACATATTTATGTACATATTTTGGTTTCATAAATACATATAAATCAGAGCTCTAATTATTACATTTTTTTAAAAAAAAATATAGTAGGTACTTTTTACTGAAAAATATATTTTAATAGAGGTGATTTTCATAATGACTGTATTATAATATTGTAAGTAGTGAAATCTGTTGTTAAAAATGGACTTTATTAATTATTTTTTATCATTTAATTATTAAATACATTTTTTTTCGTGGTTTTTTTTTTGTTGATTTTTTATACATTTGGAAACATGAGAAATAAACAGAATTGTATTTACTCTTCTTAGAATTTTTTAATTCTTATAAGTTAACCTAATCTTAAAATAATTATTTACAATATTACTTTATAGTCGAAGAAATTAAAAAAAAGTGGAAAAATATCAGAGATAATTTTGCTCGAGATATAAAACAAAATAATAGTACACCAAGTGGTAGTGGAGCAAATTCTACAAAAAAATATGCCTATGCTGATGTACTTTCTTTTTTACAGCCCGTTTTAAAAAAAAGAAAGTAAGTATAAGACATTGTGGGAACAAAATGTTTGCTTAAAATATAATATAATATAATACATATTATGTTATAATAAAAATTGCAGGACAACAGGTAATATGTATTCGCCATCAACTTCAACAGAAAACACAGTGGATACTGTCGATGCTGATGACATTTCTGAAGAAGTTTATGTTGAGCAATCAAATAAATTAGACAGTACACCTGATACACCTGCAAAGACTCGAAATAAAAAAGAAAAGATTACCACATTTCAACAAAGTTTGCTGGATCTAATGCAGCATCCTCCTATACAAACACACAATGAAGACATAGATCCAGATAAAGCTTTTTTGTTATCATTCCTTCCTGAATTTAAGAAAATGAATGCCAACCAAAAACTTGATTTCAAGATTGCAATCATGCAGTCAGTTAAAAATATTTTAAATCCTCCGATTGACAACTCTCAATCTTCACAATCAAACTCGAACATTCACCAATTCAGCTATCCTAATTATGTTAGCCAGCAAACTTCTTTCCCACATCCATCTTTCTATCCAAATTATACACAACAGTTTAATCAACCGGCCCGCCCTTCTTCAAGGTATTCACTTCCACAAAGTTATGATTCCCCAACATCACATGATTATAACCAGGAAGATATAGGAATGCATCATAGTGTATAAGTGTTATTATTATTTTTTTTTTTTTATAAAAACATTATAAACAGAAGAATTTGTTGCTTATTTAATTTTATATTAAGTTTTAAATACTTAGATTATTTTTATTACTTTTTAAATTGTATTTCAAAAGTTATTGCAATTATGTTTTATTTTTATTTTATTGTTACATACATACTCGTATAATACATTAGTACCTACTGAAAACTGTTTTATATATTGCAGAGAATTGATTAATTTGATTATACTTAATAGTTATTATGTATAACTATATTCACTAGTATAGTTTTATTATTACTTGATTGTAATAGTCAATCTTTCTTCTGCACACACCGGACGTCGGAACTTCGTAGTTTTTTTTGTAATGTAGGGACGTAGTTTTTCTAATAGCTCGTCAAATGAAGAGATGGACATTCTATAGTACTCTACAAATTTATTCGGATATTTTCGAATGTCTCCATAAAATGAAAAAAACCGATTATTAGTTTCCCGTACTATATTAAACGGATGAATCCAATACGATCTTTCTGACCTTGGCGGGTTCAGATATCCAAATGCCTCTGCCACTGCAATCACTTTCATTGCATTCATATAATATTCGTAATCCATGCTGCATGAAAAAATAAAAAAAAAAATTTAAATATGATTTTTACAAATGGAAATTTATATTTTTTAATAATGATACTAATAAATGACTTGTAATAAAAATATGTAATTTATTATTCGTTGTTACATACCTTCAACGTATTTATTCAATATATACAAATTAGTTAATTATTAAGTACACAAACACTTTAGCGAAAAAAACTTAATAACAAATAAACAATTAAAAATGCAAAATAAAATGTATAGTAAAAATGTAAAAAATTACAATTAAATGACGAAAAAAACAGTACCGAATCACAAAATACTGGTCAACTGAGCTGGTCTGAACGTGTAGTAACGCGAGCAAACCGCGCAAGTGTAATGCATGCAGACCGCGCGTTGAAACCGCGCGGTAGAAAAACGCGCGTCAAAACCGCTCTAGTGTGGCGCGGCCCTAAAATAGACCTTAAAATACTAAAATATATATAATAATAAAATTATAACATATTTGGTTCTCGAGGCCACATGTAGTATATTAAGCGCAAATAAAGGTGCCCCATTATTTTTACAAAACTACGGCGCCCGGGGGCAATTGCCCCCTTTGCCCCCCCCCCCTTAACACGGCTCTGTGTAGCATAGAGTACAAAAATTAACAATGTTATTTAACGAATATTCTAAGAGATACGGGAAAAAAGATTAAAATTTTTTTTTTTTTTCATTATTTTTTTTTTCACAAAAGTATAAATATTAATATTAAAAATCATTAAAACTATTAATATTATTTTTTATTCATATTCCTCGTGAGATAAGCTATCAAATAAACTTAACATTATAATTCTACCATTATTCGTTTTTAGGTTAAGAAAATATGGGTCATTATAATGACCCGTGGGTCTGAAAGGGTTAAAATATTTAAAATAAAATATTCGCGGAAACGCGCGAGAACAATCGCCCAATGTGAATAATAGACCCAGTCAAAACAATGTATTTAATTTTAGCCGTTTTGGGCGAATGTTCACCTAAAATTAAACATGCGCAATCGATTGCGGACGATGGCGGATTTTATCCGCTTGCTTTACATAGTGTGAATGGTCTAATTTAATACAAGCTGTTTAATTTTAAGCGAACGTTCGCGGCGATTTAAAATCGCGTCCGCGCGCGAACTATTCGCCTAGTGTGTAAGGACCTTATAACTTACTTTTACCGCGACGGAACTTGTGTGTGTAAACTGTAAATATTACGTAAATAATCACAGATGCCATTAATAAACATAAATTGCGATAAAAATTACAATAATAACGCTAATAACAGTAACAATCGTATAGCTAATGATAATGATTGTAATTTTTTTAATTTCTTTTCAGAACAAACATTGTCATTGTTTTTAATTTTCGGTGGTGGCATAATAAATATTGCATAATAGTTGATACCTGCCTAATAATATTCTAGAACAATCGTGACCGGCCGCATCTTCTAAAGATGCATCACAGCAGATCCCGTGTCGGAGACTGGTTTAAATCGAAAATAGAATTAGTATTTTAAAAGCATGACAAGTTCACAGTTGTTCTGTGGTATACGTATATATCTATAGAATAGGTTCATCTATACAGCGATCAGTATAACTAATTATTATAGACTATACGTAATTCATAGTTTATATTTACGAAGCATACGAAGTAACATCACTTGTTTATGATTCTGAGTGGAGAGATGAATGTATTAATTGTACAATGTGTATAAGTACTCGTATTTTTTCTGTTTCATCACTTCTTTAACTAGCAAATAGACTTCAACCATAAGAGTGTTTTCTGGCAAGACAGCAATAATCGGATATAGAAATACAATTGGTACTTTTGTAGTCGAAATTAAAAAAAATCCCAATCATTTTCAAAATAATCAAGAAAATAAAAAATTAAGTAAAAACAGGAATTTTTACGCAAAACTAGTGTCGAGTTAAATTTTTTTTCTGTGAATTTCGAAAAAAATACTAGAATTAAACGCTTGAAAATTTAGTATGAAGTTCTTAATAAGATTTTTGTTTACCAATTTAAAATAACTAGAAAATATGCACAGTATTTTTTTTATAAATATCTTAACTATTATAAAATTGCGAAATTTTGTAAACATTTATAGTTAAAAATGCATGAAATGTTTAATATTTATACCTAAGGTTTGAATATTAAAAATAAAGTTACCCATAAGTTTCTACTGTTAAAATTATAGAGGATTCTAATCGTAAATCTACAATTTTTTTTACGCATCTGAAATTTAAATTTGAATGAAATGGTATATTAACGCGTGAAAAACGATTTTTTATTTCAGGTTTTTATTTTGTTGTAATTCAAAAACATGAAAATATGTACTTTAAATTTTAAAATCTATTATAATTTCTTCCATATGATATATTCAAAATACTATAACTTTTAACTATTTATAGACATTTATAATTTTTAATTGTATAGGTTTTTTTTATAATAGTTGATAAAAATTATTCACTGCAATAATTGGTGTGGTTATCAATTTTTATTAAAAAAGCTAAGTATATTTTATCTATACCCACCCATTCATATAGGATGGTTACCAAAATAAAATTGCTCACTTTGCTTGTAACAACAGCCACGTGTGAAACATACAAATTGGGTAAAAAAAATACAATTTTATCATAAAGAAATTTGTATTTTTCTACAAAATAAAATGTATCATAATACTGTTAATATGTTTATACATTTTGTTTTAAACTAAATTTGTATAACGATATAAGCATACCTTATAAAAACGTAACATTAGGAAACTTCAAATTTTAAATTTTGACATGATATTTTGCCTATTTTGGTATGAAGTCGATTAACACAATACAATTTTTATTTTTTCATAATTAATCATTATGTAAACAGTATAATGCAGTTTATACTTTAAAGACTTGTAGTATTTATATTTTGTACTAACATTTTAATTAAATATAATTTAAAACAATATTTAAACAAAAGCATCTTTAACACGTCTCATATAAAAATGAGATATATAAACTCTTATAGTTTATAAAATTTAAGCGTGTATACTTTCCACACAATACATGAATAACAACTAATTGAAAATATGATAATAAGATGGAAATAATAATAATAATAATAATATGAAAGTGTGTAGATTAAAAATGTAGTATAAAGTTATATTATTACTTAAACAACAATTATTTTTGTAGCATTGAAGATGTAAATGCATATCTGTCAAAAATTCTTTTGGATTTAAAACTATATCCTTTTTAGATGACAATAACACGAGACTTTTAAATCTATTTTGTATCATAGTGGATCTAAGTCCAGTTTTAATTAATTTTACCTTCGAGAACGATATCTCACTCGCGGAAAACGTTGTAGAAATGGTGCATAAATATTTATATGCTAAAATTCTCAAGTTCATAATTTAGAAGCAATTAATTTTACAAATCTACTATTAATATCAGTATCACGACCACCATCATCCCCAGAAGTCCACGGTAACGTGGCTAAAAAAGACGTGATTCGCTAGGTCAAAAACCTCGAAAATGTATACAAATTTCCTTATAAAGTGCTATTTTAACTAAGTATTTAAAAAATTTAAAGATGTTATGGCACAATTTTTTTTACAAGTATATTAAGTTAAAATATGCTAATATTACGAAATGGTTGAAATAATTTTATAGTTCAAAATTCATAAAATGTTAAGATTGCTAATGAGTTACATCATATTACATGTAATTCATACTATGATCAAAAAATTTAAATCATTTTTAACGTTAGATTTTATTTTTGTTTATAGACATTTTAAGTTAAAATTTAGAAAATATTAGGACATGATAGAAAAAGTATTGAGGAATGCATTCATATCATTTTAAAAATTCTAGGTTCAAAACTTGATTTAACATGATTTTTTTAATATTAAAGTTAAAAAATATAGTCAATAACATCTACGGTAATATTTCATATACAGTATTATTGAAAAATGCACTAGAAAAAAGGTAAAAATGTCTTTAAAAAATTCATTTTACCAGAAAAATGTTTACATTATTGTATTTAATGTATAAATTATTGTTTTATTGGTATTTATAATATTTTAATTTTATTAAAAAAAAAAAAAAAACTGAAAAAAAAAAATTTGAATAGTGACTAGCGACGATGGATTGGGCGATAATAAAACATGAAGATAAGATAGACAATATTGTAGGTATAGAACGATTTATAAATTGTAAGAAAAATAAATCGTATCATAGACTTTATATTCTAAGTATATTTAATCTATGGCCGTAATTACTACTATGTATTATACTCGTATATTGTACAAATAAGCATTAAAAAAGAAAAGACCAAAAAATACTAAAATATGTTCTAAAAATATTGAAATATGCAAAATAAAGCAAACAATTTCACCTTTGAAGTCTCTGTTACATGAATCAAATTATAAACTTGGAAAGCATTGTCTAAGATTAACCAAAAAAAGATGCATTTTGTATTGAAATTCGGGCTCTATTCATCATATATTTATTTTATTTTATTTTACATAATAATTTACAATAGATGATTGATACAAAATAATAAATAATATATTATTATTTAAAAAATCACTGAATTGAAAATTTACTAAGGAAGTTTTAAAATTTTTATCGTTTTATTTTTAGTTCGTAATAATATATAAATTTGTATTTAAATTTAAAACTAAGATAAGAAACAACAAAATATAAATAAATAAATTCAATATACGAGGGATCTATCCTCCCATATTCCCTTGTAATTACGCCGCTGGTGGAGGCCACATTTTATTAATAATTTAATATTTTCACATTTTTGTTTTAATTTAAGTTAGAAATTAGTGTAGTCTTAATCGTTGTGCGGTAAAGACTTACTAAATAAATAATAATTATAAATTATACACAATTTAATCAATAATTTATTGGATCATGATAAGTGACAACGACAAAGCACTAGTTTGTGCTTCATTTATTGTTATGTGTGATGAATATT